CTAACCTGAGACATCCTTCTATTTTTTCCTATTCCGGCCTCAACTGACAAGGCCACTGGACTTTGTAACTGACCTTGGTCAACTTTGCGAATCCACAGCCTAGGACACCCGTTTAGCTTGCAAACCTATGACCCCTTCCCAGCTTGCAAAAAACACCCTAAACTGTAACTTCTGTAACTTTCCACTCCCTACCCCAAACCTGTAAAACCAACTCCTAACTCTCCCCACAACGCTGACTCTCTTTTCAGACTCAGCCCACCCGCACCTGAGTGAATAAACAGCCATGTTGCTCACATGAAGTCTGTTTGGGGAGATCTCTTCATTCAGAGCATGTGTTTTAACAGAAACTAGATTTGAATGGAGAGAACAGAGAAGATGGCGGCTCTCAACAGTTGCTCCTCCTCTCTAGAGAGAGCAGAGAAGATGGCGGCTCTCAACAGTTCCTCCTCCTCTCTAGTTTATTCCTGGTGTTGCATCCAGCCTCATCTTTGTAAATCACCAGTCTGGTCACGTGACACCTGGTTTATCTAGAAAATTTATTAATCTATCTGGCTTCATTTCTTTGGTGGATTATTTGCAGTTCCCTGCAAGTCACAGTATGGATGAGTATGAGTTTTCTTCATTTTCCTTTTTCCTCCGTAATTCAGATAGAAGGCAGGTTTCTCAGAGAAGATGAATTTAACTCATTGTCAACATGATGAGTGTAGATGGATGTTGCAAAAAATAGGTTAACAAATTCCCTGAATGGGTAATTGTGAGGATTAAATGAATTGAAGTGACCTGATAATATAATGGGATTCTACAAATAATGTCTTTTATTATTTATAGCTTCCTTAGAAGAAGGCAGTTGCTCAGTAGAACAAACAGCCTGGTTTTTGCCTCCTGGTAGGCTCAGCACTGTTTGGGCCACCAGAAGTGTCATCTCAGAGTGTCTAATCATGTCCAGAAGAAGTTTTGTATATGTACTCACCCACCTTGAAGCTTTGGAACCCTAAATTCCATCTGATACTGGGGTTTTTCTCTTCCTTTCTGATTCACTGGAGACAAACAATCAATATGGCCTTTTCAAAATGTCCTATTTTGCCCAGAGATAGTGTGGATCAGTATTGGGCCTGTGAGGCTTAGTCATCTAGGATGTTTTGTCTTAAATGCCTAGCAGAGGTGGTTTATTTATTTATTTATTTTTGGTATTTTTTGATAGCAAGAGCAGCTTGTGCACTGATTTTGTCTTATGATCCTGAAATCCTTGCTATCCCTGATTAGATTTGACCAATTCTATTGTAAATATCTCTGGTTTGAACATCAGTTGTCTGATTGGCACCCAACTGAGATCACTTGAGGTTTTCCTGGTGATGGAGGGAATGATGGAATTTAGGGATGGAAGGGATATTAAAGTTTTTCCAAAGTAATACACACACACACACACACTGGAGTGACAGCTTTGTGAAAAGGTTAATCTCTGGTTAAACGTGTCTATTCTGGCCACATGTGGTGGCTCATGCCTGTAATTCCAGCACTTTGGGAGGCTGAGGCAGGAGTTTGGGGCCAGCCCAGCCAACATGGTGAAACCCTGTCTCTACTAAAAATACAAAAACCAAATGGTGTGGTGGCATGCACCTGTAATTCCAGCTACTAGGGAGGCTGAGGCAAGAGAATTGCTTGAACCTGGGAGGCACAGGTTGCAGGTCACATCACTGCACTCCAGCCTGGGCAACAGCAAGACAAGACTCCATCTCAAAACAGATCAAAACAAAACCAAACAACAAATATTTCTGTTCTGTAAGCATGGAGATATTTTAATAATTAATAATTACAGCCCCATGCGCAGCAACAAAACCTCAGTAGTAACCAAAATATCTAGTAGAGAAATAAGTCACCATTACACAAGAGGTAAAAATTACATCTGTGCATATTTGTGAAAATGTTTGTTATGATTTCAAATGAAAAAAGCAAAATACAAACTTGCATTTATATGACTCTTAAAACTAACCGTGGACAAGAAGATGGGAAAACGTGGAAAATAAAGACATTGTTATGCTTGGGCTATGAGGGTAATTTTTATTCTCCTTTAAATATTTATAAATATTCTGTAATTGTACATATTCAGGATTCATGTATCAAATTAATAAAAACAAGACGTTGGTTTAACATTTTCTTTTTTTTTTCCTGCTTGAAAACAGAAAAAGTAAAAAGGAGATACTAATTTATAGGGGAATTCTCCAGGAATCAGAGGCAATGATATAAAAAAAAAAGATTTTAAGTTTATTTAGTGAAGCTAGTGTTCCATATCCTCCCCAACCCATTTGATTTTACTTTTCTTTTTTTTTTATTTTTTGAGATGGAGTCTTGCTCTGTCACCCAAAATGGAGTGCAATGGTGTGATCTCCGCTCACAGCAACCTCTGCCTCCCGGGTTCAACCAATTCTCCTGCCTCAGCCTCCTGAGCAGCTGGGATTATAGGCATGTGCCACCATGCCTGGCTAATTTTTGTATTTTTAGTAGCGACAGGGTTTCGCCATATTGGTCAGGCTGGTCTCAAAACTCCTGACCTCAGGTGATCCGTCCCCCTTGGCCTCCCAAAGTGCTGGGATTACAGTTGTGAGCCACCGCGTCAGGCCTCTGATATTTCTTTTTTTTTCTTTCTTTCTTTCTTTTTTTCTTTTTGTGATGGAGTTTCGCTCGTTACCCAGGCTGGAGTGCAATAGCACGATCTCGGCTCACCGCAACCTCCGCCTCCTGGGTTCAGGCAATTCTCCTGCCTCAGCCTCCTGAGCAGCTGGGATTACAGGCACGTGCCACCGTGCCCAGCTAATTTTTTTTTGTATTTTTAGTAGAGACAGGGTTTCACCATGTTGACCAGGATGGTCTCGATCTTTTGACCTCGTGATCCACCCGCCTCGGCCTCCCAAAGTGCTGGGATTACAGGCTTGAGCCACGGCGCCCGGCCTGATATTTCTTAAGTACCAAATGTACATCTTATTTAGATGCTGAATTAAATAAAGGGCAAGTCAAAAAAAAGTTAGTTTTAGTCTAAATTGATTGTAAGCCTAGGCATCTAAGAAAATTTGTACTAGAGAGTACAATTCTGTACCCTTCGGAATAATTCAACATAATGTTATGAAAACCCGTTTGGCACTTGGCTAATTGGGTAAATGAAAAGAACTGATCTCCACTGTTAATTATCCAGTTACCCAAGTGCCAGGGATAACCTCAGGTAACCAATGATTTGGCTTTTCCGTTGGGTTAAACTTTGCTCGCATTTTACCGCAAGTCGTCCCTCGGCGGCATATTCCTTGTTTCCTCTTTGCTTTGCTGGCATTATCCTTGCTAATGACACAGGAGTGAAGAAGAAATCGCTTAGGCAGATAAAGGTCTGGGAGTCCTCGGTAAGGCGTTTGCTTTTCATGAAAAGCTGCCCCAGATCATTTTCTAACAAACAGCAGCCTGTAAACTCGAGCTGCAGACATAGACACGTGAATGCCCACAGGAACTGGGGACTAGACATGTTCAACATGGCGGCGCCATCCTCCCTTCTCTTTGTCAGCCGCATGTGCAGTAAAGAGCAGATGAGATGGCAGCGATCAACAGGAAAGCGCATTTGCATAATAAAATTAGGGTGGGGCCACCAGTCTTCCCTGAATGCTATCTAACTGTCATACCTGATCAATCCAATCTGTCAGCCCTGTGTAAAGCAGACATGGCCTCTTCAAACCTGACTATAAAATGCAGCATACACCTGCTGGTCCTTCCCGCTGGGAGATTCCCTTCTTTATGCAGAGAGCTGGTTTTCTTTCTCTTCTGCCCATTAAACCTTTGTTCCTAAACTTGCGTGTGTCCATGTCCTAAATTTTCCTGTCATGCAACAATGAACCCCAGGGTATGGACCCCAGACAAGGTAGCCACTTCACTAGGAGGTGACCAGTTCCTGGAAGTGGTGACTTTAGTATTTGGCCCAGAGGGACAGTAACTGAAAGGGCTCTTCTATCTAACAAATGTGAAGTCACACTGAATCTCTTTGAGGTGACTGGAACGGAGCTGGGAACAGAGAAGGAGAGCATGAAACGTTTTGAAATAATTTGAAATTTTGGCACTGTGTTTTTTAATGAAAATATTTTAATAAAGACTGTTTTTAGGTAAAAAAAAAAAAATCCAACCATCAAATAGACTTAACAATATAAATTTAAGGAAATGCAAAGGAAACAGCACTTGACACTACACAGCTAGCCAAGCACGTAGGTGGCTGCTTGTTAGGTTAGAGCTTAGTGGCCTTGTTTAAATGGTCCTGGATAATGGTTAACCAAGAAAATGTACTTTGGGCCTGAACCTAACTCTCCTAAGGTGTGGGCATTTGTACTGATGTAACTGTTGCTAGATCAATGGGAAAAACATTAACAACTAGACAGAAAAACACACTTACTTCCGTCTCCACCCTCTGGCTCCAGTGTCCATCTGCGTGTTTGGAGAATGGAAACACTTAGACTGGTTACTGTTGTCTTGAACATATCATTTAGATTTCGTTGATAAAAGAAAACTCATTCCTCTTTAATTTTCTCTTCCCAAAGTGCATGACCCATGCATTTCCTCTCCCTCCCTCCCCCCCATACCTACTCCTTTCCATTTGTTCGTTTATTTGTTTCTTTTTTCACTTCCATACTTCGTGTCTGGGACGGCCCAGGTAACTAGCCTGCAGCGTACTTCCCAGTGCTGCTGACGCATCCTTGCAGTGAAGCCTCTTCTGCTGCTTTGTTCCTTATCTTTTACGTGTTTGGTAAATGAGGCAGCCTGGAATAAGGTCCTAATGTCAAAAGAGCCCAAAAGAAAAGTTATTCCTGCAAGCGTCCTCCCTCTCACAGAGGATTCTCCGTAGCCGCCAGAGCCCTGGAGTGACGTCAACAGGCCACGGGGCCGGAAGAACCCCCGTGCCACTTTGTGGACTGTGTGTCCCCTTTCACTTGTCTCCTTCCCTTTGGGAAGGCATTGTTACTATTCTTGTTTCGCAGATGAGGAAACCAAGGAGCAAGAAGCTTAAAAAGTCCTGTGTGATCACACAGCTGATAACTGATAAAACCAGAAGAATTTGAGCCCAAACCCTTCATTCCAAAAATGTCGTACCAGACCTTCCACAAGGTTAGCAATTTTGTTAGTAGAAATGCGTCTATACCTGTCAATTAAGTTATAACCTGGAAGGTGCATGATGAAAGGCTTCTGAGTGAGAAAAGCCTCGAATCTGACTGGAGAAAACCAGAGATCCCATTCAGGATAAGGAGGGACCAAGCGGGGTCAGCTTGGAGGTGACTTGATTTCACCATGTGTGTTAGTTTACTAGCCTGCTGTCACAAAGTGCCACAAACTGGAAGGTTTACAGCAATAAAAATGTACTTTTCCCAGTGCTGGAAGCTGGGAAGTCCACGATCAAGGCAGATATGGCGACTGGTGAGGACCTGCTTCCTGGTTCGTAGATGGTGCCTTCTCATTGTAACCCCATGTGGTGCGAGCAGGGAGCTCTCTGGGGGCTCTGTTATAACAGGGTCACTAAGCCCATTCACAAAGGCTTGACCCCCATGACCTAATTACCTCCCGAAGGTCCACCTCCCAGTACCATCACCGTGGGGGTTAGGATTTCAGTAGTATGGGAAGGACTGAAATTCAGACATTCAGGCCACAGCAATCAGATGTCCGTAGCAATCCAGCCTTCATTCTCCAGTCCCCAGGGCTCCCTGAGTGCATGGCATCAGTGCTCTTTGGAAGTGTTTAGCTGAATTTAAATATTAATGGCACCTTATCCAGGGAACAGCTGTTGTGGCCCCTGTTAGTCCAATTCTGGGGAGAACAAATAGTGTTTAAGAATTAGGATGGTCTCCAAGCCTGGGCGTGGTGGTTTATGCCTGTAATTTCAGCACTTTGGGAGGCCGAGGTGAGTGGATCACCTGAGGTCTGGAGGCTACCGACCTGGAGAAACCCCATCTCTACCAAAAATACAATTAGCTGGGCATGGTGTCGCATGCCTGTAATCCCAGCTGCTCAGGAGGCTGAGGCAGGAGAATTACTTGAACCCGGGAGGCGGAGGTTACTGTAAACTGAGATCACGCCATTGCACCCCAGCCTGGACGCAAGAGTAAAACTCTGTCTCAAAATAATAACAATAATAATAATTAGGATGGTCTCCAAGTTAAATGACTGTCCCCATTCTAACCACAGCTCCATGTGACAGCAGGGCTTACACCCTTTGCATTTCCCCCTTTCCCTCCGCTTCTGTCAGAACTTGGCTGACTCCTGACAGATTCCATGATCCCTGCACTAGTTCAGATTCCACAATGCCAGGTCTTGAGAAATGGGAACCTATATCACGTTAGGTTTTCTCCTTTAAAAGTTCAGATAGGCATTTCACCTTACTTAAAAAGACCAAATTTGATAATATTCAAGAAATAAAAGAACTTTCAGTCAATTTATGCTGATCAGTATAAAGGGTTGTTTGACTTACAATAAACTTTAAGTTAAAACATGCTTTCAAGCTTAAATACAATCGTAAGAGATTTAACTGATAAATATCTTTTGCAGAATAGAAAGTTATCTTTGTAGGGCCAGGCACAGTGACTCACATCTGTAATCCCAGCACTTTGGGAGGCTGAGGCAGGTGGATCAGGGTTCGAGACCAGCCTGGCTAACATAGTGAAACCCCGTCTCTACTAAAGACACAAAAAATTAGCCGGATGGGATGGTGCTCCAGCCGGGTGACAGTGTGAGACTCCGTCTCAAAAAAAAATGAAAGTTATCTTTGTATACCAAGTCCAACTTCATATATATTTGAATATATATTTATGTGTGTGTATATGTATAGATGTTTATAGGTATCTACATAATTTAATAATATATTGGGCAAGGTGAAAGTTATCTTTATATACCAAGTCCAGCTTCATATATATGTATCTATACACACACACATAAATATATATTCAAATATACATATAGATGTATACACACACACACACACACACACACACACACACAGATGAATACGTACTTAGAGTCTACTTGACTGTCAGTTTGAGAGAATTGTGAATACGGTGCTGTAGGAGGCCAGGTCTTCTCAGTCTTGGCACTGCTGGCATTTGCAGTGCGTGTCTCTCTGTGGGGCTGTCCTGGCATTGCAGGTGTTTAGCAGCATTCCTGGCTTCCATTCAGCGGATGCCAGTGGCACCTTCCTCCACCCTGTCCAATTTGTGATGACCAAAAATGTCTCCAGTTGCCGCCAGTGTCTCATGGGAGGACAAAATTGCTCCAAGTAAGAACTACCAGTTTGCAGTGATCGCAGTTACACTAAATTATCTGTGTATGCTTAGAGTTGTTCTTTTTTTTTTCCCAAGACAGGGTTTTACTCTGTTCCCCAGGCTGGAGTACAGTGGCATGATCTCAGCTCACTGAAACCTCCACCTCCCAGACTCAAGTGATTCTCCTACCTCAACCTCCCAAGTAGGTGTGTGTCACCACGCCCGGCTAATTTTTGTATTTTTAGTAGAGATGGGGTTTCACAATGTTGGCCACGCTGGTCTGGACTTTCTGGTCTCAAGTGATCTGTCTGCCTTCCAAAGTGTTGGGATTATAGGCACGAGCCCCCAGGCCTGGCCAGAGTTTTTATCATATATATTTACCACTATACTGTTTAGTACCCAAAGGTTCATGACTATAATTTTTATGTTTTTTTTTTATCATTACCAAGTCATTCTTTTTAAATTAAATGCCATATTATCTTTTCATGAATGTTTCTATTTCTACTACTTGTATTTGCATTTTCCCAAATAAATTACGGCTCATCCCTTTATTTTCAGCCACTTAATACAGTCTCTAGTCCAACATTTCTACCACTACCGCCGCACCTAACCTGGCCTTCTGCAGATGTTGTAGAGCTGAATCCATTTCAACACAGTTCTTTGGAAGCACAGGCAGAGTTGTGCGGTTAATAGGGAGAGCTCCTTTTTCGACCTCATCTCTTCGTCAGTTTTGGCTGCTCTAACAAAGTACCACAGATCGGGTGGCTTGTAAACAATGGATATTTATTTCTCAGCTTTGGAGATTTATTCCAATTTTGGAAGCTGGAATTCTGAGATTGGGGTGCAGCAATGTCAGGTTCTGATGAGGGTCTGGCTTGCTGGCTGGTTGTACACTACATGAGAGCTCTTTAGGGTCCTTTTCACAAGGTCACTAGTCCCATTGACAAGGGCTTCTCTCTCATGACCTAATCATCTTCCAGAGGCTTCATCTCCTCATACCATCACAGTGGGGGGTAGGGCTTCAACATACGAATTTTGAGTGGACACAAACATTCAGTCCATAAGGTCTTACCTTGTGTACTGATATTGAGCTGTGTTACTGAAAATTTGAGAATCTTGTATCCCACAATTTTCCGCTCTTAACTGATGAATTTGTTGGACTTTATGTAGAAGACATTAAGTATAATATGCTTTTCAGTGGAATTGTTTGTGAAGTTTGACGCTGCCAAAAGAAAAAAATAGATGCTTTCTAACCTCAGTGACTAAGACATTGATGTTTGAGTCTGTTTGTATGGGAGCGGGATGGGTACCATAATGCCGCACTCAGGTGCAGTCCTGCCCCTCCTACTTGCCACTGATTTTGTGTTTAGGGCGAAAAGCTTCCGAGAATGCAGCCTATAGAAATGAGCACAGCTTCCTTGCACTGAAAATCTTGCTGAAAAGCCCCTTTTGTTTCTGTGATGTGCCAGATGGAATGTTCTCTGTACAAACAAACATTCAAAATCCTTGAGAAGAGACATGTAGGTTACAGTTTAACATTCATTATCTCTAACAGGAGGAGGACAAATTCCTGAGGCAAAGGAGTTGCAGTAGAAATTCTTGAAATTTAACGAGAACGGCAAATGTTCTATTCATTTACTGTTGGGTAATGAATTGGAGGTGCCCTTCCTGGTCCCGCCCCACGGGTCCACCCCTTCTGCAAGGACTGGTTTCCGCCCACTCATCTGTCATCTTGCTCGGTTGTCACCTACACAAAGCCCTCCTTTCTTCTCCTCAGGCAGTGCTGAAGGCTTCCTCCTCACTGTCCCCAGCTCTTTGTGTGTGCTATATTTAGAATGAACAAATTGTTCAGTAATGATTTGTTTACATATCTGTCTCTCCCAGTAGGTGATGAGCTCTTTGGAGTTGGGGTCCACGTCTTCATCATTTTCAGACACGAATCTCCTTTTGTTGAATAAATCTTCGAGTCTGTTTTCAGATCTTTCTGAACTCCTTTTAGAGATTCCCCTTGTCAGTAGCATAACCTCCAAACCTCACTTCTGTTGAGTGCCTTGACACCCCAGTTAGACTGAATTTTTTTTTTTTGAGACGGAGTTTCACTCTTGTTGCCCAGGCTGGAGTGCGACAGCCACGATCTCGGCTCACTGCAACCTCCGCCTCCTGGGTTCAAGTGATTCTCCTGCTTCAGCCTCCTGGGTAGCTGGGATTACAGACATGTGCCACCATGCCCGGCTGATTTTGTGTTTTTAGTTAGAGACAGGGGTTCTCCATGTTGGTCAGGCTGGTCTCGAACTCCCAACTTCAGGTGATCTGCCTACCTTGGTCTCCCAAAGTGTTGGGATTACAGGTATGAGCCACCACGCCTGGCCAGACTGAATATTTACAGCTCTCCGGAGATGCTGGGCTCTCTCTCCTCTTTCTTCTTTTACCAGTAATGTTCCCTTTATTTGGAATGTATCTGCCCAAACACCAAAAATCAAGCACCCTTTCTTTGTTCTGGGTTAACTCTTCCTCATTCTCAGAGGGGTTAGAGCACACCTTGGGAGGCGCTACAGTATTCTGTGATTTTCCCAAAATATCATTTATTGTGATCGCCTCCTTGTGTGTCTGGCTTGCCCTCGAGGTTGGATAGTGCTGGAATAGCTGTATGCAGTTTCCCTGCCTCCTAGCACAGGGCCTGGTACTCAGTCAATGTTAGTGGGATTATGTTTCTTACAAAAGCCACATAAAATATCCTGAAACTTCATAGTAATAGAGAAAGAGTGTGTAATCTGAAATAGAAATGTTGAGTCCTTGTCCAGATTCTGCTGTTTACCACTAGGGAGGAAAATAAAACATAAAGGTTTGTCTACATTTAGAAAAGAGCAGACATAAGCAAAGAAAAATAGGCTTCTGCCAGGAGGTAGGACTCCAAGTGCCGGGGCAGTGAAGAAACAGACGAGTTAGTTTAGCAGCAACTAGGGGTAATGGGGTACAACAGGAGGGGCCGGGTACAGTGGCTCATGCCTGTAATCCCAGCACTCTGAGGAGCCGAGGTGATGGGTGGATGGTTTGAGGTCAGGAGTTCCAGACCAGCCTGGCCCACATGGTGAAACCCCATCTCTACTAAAAATACAAAATTACCCAGGTGTGCTGGCATGTGCCTATAATCCCAGATTCTTGGGAGGCTGAGACAGGAGAATCACTTGAGCCTGGGAGGTGGAGGTTGCAGTGAGCCGAGATTGTGCCACTGCACTCCAGCCTGGGCGACAGAACGAGACTCCGTCTAAAAAAAAGATACAACAGGAGGAAAGGGGGCATCAGCTCTTCGTGTTACCAAATGGCTTGGCAACGCAGGAACCTTAAGTACGGTCCTCTGGCCCAGGTAGGCGGGTGACAACAAGATTGCCCCAGGGAAGAAAGGAGAGAAAAGAATTGGTTTTTAATTTTGGACAAAGAGAGGATCTCAAGCCTGAGGTTTGTAAATTTGTGCCCATGCCTGCTGTTTATTCCCCTGGTGAAGCTGCTGGAACAAATCCGCGTCCGCCTCGTGTGCCCTGCTGCATGGAAGGGAGAGAGCAGAGCGCATGCTTTGGCAAGGCTTGCGACATGTTGGAAATGTGACAGCTGCCTGGACTGCTCGTCCTGGGCTTTGGCAACACTGACCACCTGTGCGTGAAGCAGCAGGTCACTGAATGTCTTTGAGCCTCAGGATTTCTCTATAAAAATGAGGATATTTATTTACAATATGAATCTCAGACAATATTAGCTTTGAGCTTTTTAGAAATAAAATTGTTTATGCCATCTGTCCATGGCCACTCATGGAATTAAGCAAAGATCTAGGAGGGCAGGAGTGTGTCTAGGGCCCTCTGTGTCCCCATGGAGCTGTCCAACCTGCTGTCACATGCACAGTGCTTTAAAATGGAATTTACCCTTTGACAGATGTGCAGCCATTTCTCTTTCATTCTCCCTCTCATGGCTTAGATACCTCCAGCCTAGATGGCCAGGGTAGTGCATTGCCTACAGTTCAGATGAGCAGTCAAAAGGTGGCACAGTGGGGCTCCTGGACATTGCATGGGCTCTGGAGTCAGAATGAATTCTGTCCTTGCTCTGTGTGACCTTGAGCAAGTCATGTATTACTTCTCCAAACCTCGGATCACTATCTGCAGTATGAAAATAGCAAAGCACCCACCTCCTGCATGATGTGGGGAGCCTCTGGGCCTATGCATGTACAGCACTTCTCTGCAGGCAACGCCCCAGCATGATCAGCTGGCAGTGGATGCCAGTTACGCTGGCTCCTTAGTGAGTCCTGATGTGACGTGGTTATTGTTATCCCTACTTTGCATGTGAGGAAAATAAGCCTTTTCATTAAGTGGCTGATCTGGGATTTTTTTTTTTTTTTCAAGACAGGGGCTCTCTCTGTTGCCCAGGCTGGAATACAATGGTACGATCATGGCTCACTGCAATTCTAACCACCCAAGGGGCTCACCTTACCTGCTGCCTAGACAGAGCTGATTCATCAAGACAGGGGAATTGCAATAGAGAAAGAGTCATTCATCCACAGCCGGCTGTGCGGGAGACTGGAGTTTTATTATTACTCAAATCAGTCTCCCCAAGCATTCGGAGAGCAGAGATTTTAAGGATAATTTGGTGGGTGGGGGAAAGCCAGTGAGCCAGGAGTGCTGATTGGTCAGAGATGAAAAAATAGGGAATCAGAGCTGTCTTCTTGTGCTGACTCAGTTCCTGGGTGGGGGCCGCGAGATCAGATGAGCCAGTTTATTGGTATAGGTGGTCCCAGCTGATCCATCAAGTACAAGGTCTGCAAAATATCTCAAGCACTGGTCTTAGGAGTAGTTTGGAGAGGATCAGAATCTAGTCTCCAAACGACCATTTCTAATCTTGTGGCTAATATGTGTCTTACAAAGGTAACCTAGTCCTCAGGCAGGAAGGAGGTCGGCTTTGGGAAAGGGCTGTTACCGTCTTTGTGTAAACTATTAACTAAGTTTCTCCCAAAGTTAGTTGAGCCTACACCCAGAAATGAACCAGGACAGCCTGGAGATTAGAAGCAAGATGGAGTCAGTTAAATTCGATCTCGTTCACTGTCTCAGTCATAATTTTGCAAAGGTGGTTTCAATACCTCAGCTTCCCAAGCTCAAGTGATCCTCCTGCCTCAGCCTCCCAAGGAGCTGGCACTAGAGCTACGGACTACCACACCTGGCAATTTTTAATTTTTTTTTGTGGACATGGGGTCTCACTATATTGCCCAAGCTGGTCTCAAATTTCTGGGCTCAAAGGATTTCCTGCCTCAGCCTCCCAAAGCAGTGGGATTACAGGCATGAAGCACTGTGCCCAGCCTGATTTGGGTTTTGAACACAGTTCTACTGGACCCCTTGAGAGGAGCACTTTTCACAGCGCCATGCTGAATGAGAAGTAACCCTTAAGGGGCTTTCTTTCAACTGTGGACAAGCCACTGCCCTTCTTTCCTTCTTCCTTGCCTTCAAGGAAGTTCTTCCTTTGTGCTAGCACCCCAGTGTGATCAGGGCCTTTTTCCCTGCCCACGGCCAGGCTCCCAGGGAGAGTGATCCTATTTCCCCCAAGCATGAGTCCTGCTGAGTTTAGGTCAGCTGTTAGTGTAATGATCACATTCTTCTGGGGAGCAGGCTCATGGCAGTTCTGGGGGAGTCGGGAGAGAGGAGGAGTCTTCAGGTCAAAAAATAAACACAGCTGGTAGTGACCCGACAGAATGATGGTGAGAATTTGAGTCCTTGAAGTGGCTGTGGAGTTGTTTAACCATCCTGCGACCCACTCCCCCACCTATTTTTAAGTCATATAAATAGAAAAAAAAGTCTGTACATGTTCAGTACAGTCACAACCATGCATTTTCTTTCCCAAATAGTTTTGATCTTTGTTTGGTGGAGTCTGTGGATGCAGAGCCCATGAATATGGAGGGCTAACTTCATTTACAGCGAAAAGCATCTCAGCGGATTTATCATCACACGAATCAATCAAGAGGGCTGATTAATGTAGCCAAATCTTTGAGGGGTTTATGAACACTAGAACCGCTGTTTCAGATCTGAGATAGGCGCTCTGTGAGTGAATTACGGCATGTTGGGCTTGGAGAAATGAGAGGTCGTCAAGCCTGGTGTTTACTAAATCTTTTTTTTTTTTTAATTTTTTGCAGAAACAGAGTCTCATTGTGTTGACCAGGCTGGTATTGAACTCCTGAGCTGATCCTCCTGCCTCTGTCTCCAACGGAAATCTATACTGACCATTCCAGTTACCTATTTCTGTGGAACAAATCACCCCCAAAGGTTAATGATGTAAAAGAACAAAAAATCATTTTATTATTCTGAAGGTCAGCTTTATGTATGAACGTGGCATGGTTATAGTAAAGAGTAATTCAAATACTAACTTAGCTTGTTGCTGTGGAGGAATTCTGTAGATGTAATTACAAAATTAGCATCTGCAATCAACTGACTTTACGTCGCTTATCCTTGGCAATTTGGTTGGGTCTGACTCAGTCAGTTGAGAGGCCTGAAGAGCAGAACTGAGGCTTCCCTGAGGAAGAAGAAATTCTGCCTGTGGACTCAGGGTCAACTCGAACTGCCCATCCAGCCTGCCCTTCCTGACATCCTGCCTTACAGACCTCAGATCTACCTTGTCATCTCCCAGAATCACAAAGCTAACTCTTGCAATCAATCTAGATCCTTCCATTCTGGATCGTTTCTATGAATTCCTGACTACTACTATTATTATTTCTCGTGATTCTGAAGGGTGACTGGGCTCAGCTAGGTTTTTGCTTGGGGTCCCTCAAGCAAGTACAGTTAGACAATTGCTGGGGCTGGAGTCACCTTGAAGGTATCACTCACATATCTGACCCTTGACTGGGACTTCAGCTGGGCATTGGCTGGAAAACCTAGACGTGGCCTTTTCATGTGGTCTGAGCTTTCTCATAGCATGGCAGCTGGGGTTCATGAGGGAGTACCCCAAGAGAAGGAAGAGGAAGAGCATAGCTTTTTATTTTGAATGACCTAGACTCAGAAGTCATAGAGCCTCAATGTAGCCATCCTTTATTGGTAAAGGCAGTCATAAAGGTCTATTTAGGCGCAAAGCAAAGACCACAGACCCTGCCACTCATGGGAGGAGAATTAATGTCACATTGTAGAAGAGTGTCTGCCACAGTGAACACATTTTTACCAATTCGTGGTTGGATGACAACAATCAAACCAAATTATTTCTATTTAGAGGACAATTTAGAGGATAGTCCAACATTCTGAACTGAAGCTTCGGTGGTAAAATATCCTATATTTAGTGAAATGGTGATAATTGTATATCATTTTGTGATTCATTTTGTAAATGTATTTACTGTGTAAAAATAAAATGCTGGTGACTTCAGGTCAGCCTCCAAGCTTTTGTGAAACTCAGAATCTGGCAATTTGGTTGTGTCCACCTTTTACTGAGTGTTGTGAGGACATTTGCAGCATTCTCTGTAGTGAACATTTATTCTCTGGACACTCCTGGTGACCTCAGTCTCCCCTCACTGAAGGATTTATCACTCTCATTGCCAACAGTCCTTACCAGTGTAACGTTCTTTTTTTTTTTAGATGGAGTTTTCGCTGTTGTTACCCAGACTGGAGTGCAATGGCACGATCTCGGCTCACTGCAACCTCCTCCTTCTGGGTTCAAGCAATTCTCCTGTCTCAGCCTCCCGAGTAGCTGGGACTACAGGCACGGGCCACCATGCCCAGCTAATTTTTTTTGTATTTTTAGTAGAGACGTGGTTTCCCCATGTTGACCAGGACGGTCTCAATCTCTTGACCTCGTGATCCACCCACCTTGGCCTCCCAAAGTGCTGGGATTATCGGCGTGAGCCACCGCGCCCGGCCAGTGTAACGTTCTTACCTTCTGCCCTGCTGATCTGGAATCTTTCCTCTCTTTATTTAACAGCTTTTTTACTTTCAGCAACCCACCGTTAAGTCTTCCTTTTTTAGGCTGAACAATCTTAATTCCTATGAATATTCTTTATGTGACCCAGTCAGTATATTGGGTAAGCTTGTGTGTAATGGTGGTGATATGGCTTGATGTTTGTCCCCTTGAAATCTCATGTTAACATGTCATCTGCGGTGTTGGAGGTGGGGCCTGGTGGGAGGCGTTTGGTTAGAGGGGTGGGTCCCTTGCCACTGGCTCAGTGTCTTCCCCTTGGAAATAATCGAGTTCTCACTCTGTTAGTTCACAGGAGAGCTGGTGGTTTGAGTCTGGCATCTCTCTTTGCCTCGTCTCTCTCACCATATGACATACCTGCTCCCCCTTTGACATGAGTGGAAGCTTCCTGAGGCCTCACTAGAAGCAGATTCCAGCACCACATTTCTTGTAGTATGAAGAACCAAAACCTCTTTTTTAAATATTACCCAGTCCCACGTATTTCTTTTAGCAACAAACCCCAATAAATACAGGTGGTATTATTTCAGTCTTATAGGATCTCAATATTTTCAATTTGTTTATGCTGGAATTATGATCTTCAGGGTACTTATTGGCTGTAAATCTGTGTTTTGCAATGCTGCTGATGCATCTCTTTCTTAACAGGTGATTGCAACAGAAAACATGTTCTGAACAATACAGAATATAATGAGTCTATGCTACCTTTAATAAATATACTATGCTTCTATGAATATATCCTAAAACTCTTCAAAAAACACTATGTATGACATGAAGATGGTACATAGTAAATATGTAGTTAATTTTTTTAAAATAGCAAAATGAGTAGTATTTATTTTTATTTATCTAATATAAAAGTTAGAGCTTCTCATTATTCTGCTGTTTTCTGAGAAGTCCTAACATCGGACTAAAGGTAGTTTTTTTCCCCTAATTAATTGGGGTACAGGTGGTATTTGGCGACATGAATAATTTCTTTAGTGGTGATCTGTGAGATCCTGGTGCACGCATCATCCGAGCAGTGTTACTGCACTGTATTTGTTGTCTTTTATCCCTCAGCCCCTCCCACTCTTCCTCCCAAGTCCCCAAAGTTTATTGTATCATTAAAAAAAATTTTTTTTGAGACAGAGTTTCGCGTTTGTTGCCCAGGCTGAAGTGCAATGGCGAGACCTCGGCTCACTGCAACCTCTGCCTCCTGGGTTCAAGTGATTCTCCTGCCTCAGCCTCCCAAGTAGCTGGGATTATAGGCATGCGCCATAACGCCCTGCTAATTTTGTATTTTTAGTAGAGTCGGGGTTTCTCCATATTGGTAAGGCTGGTCTCAAACTCCCAACCTCAGGCGATCTTCCCGCCTCTGCCTCCCAAAGTGCTGGGATTACAGGCGTGAGGTGCCGCACCCAGCTTTGTGTTCTCATAGCTTAGTTCTCACATATCAGTGAGAACATACGTTTAATTTTCTATTCCTGAGTAATATGTAGTTAATTTTAAACCTACATTTTAAAAAACCTAAGTTTCTAGTTTTCTTCATTTTGTCTTTATACATTTGAGTATTTTTACCTTAAATTTTCAACTTCAGGCCAGGCGTGGTGGCTCATGCCCACAATCCAAGCACTTTGGAGGCCGAGGTGGGTGGGTCGCCTGAGGTCGGGGGTTCAAGACCAGCCTGACCAACATGGTGAAACCCCATCTTTAAAAAAAAATTTTGACTTCACCTTTGTTCCTATTTTCATTACTTTTACTATTGTTATCACTACGATTGCTGCTAAATATTGATAATAATGTGCTTCTATTGCTAGTTTTTGTCCCTCAGTTTCTTCTCTCCAGGAATAGTTGGTTCTGGTGCCTTCCTCTATTCTTGTCTCTCTCTCTCTCTTTTTTTTTTTTTTTTTGAGATGGAGTCTTGCTCTGTCACCCAGGCTGGAGTGCAATGGCACAATCTCGGCTCACTGCAACCTCCACCTCCTGGGTTCAAGTGATTTGCCCCCTCAGTCTCCTGAGGAGCTGGAATTACAGGCACCTACCATCATGCTTGGCTAATTTTTGTATTTTTAATAGAGACAGGGTTTCACCTTGTTGGCCAGGCTAGTCTTGAACTCCTGACCTTATGTGATCCACCTGTCTTGGCCTCCCAAAGTGCCAGGATTACAGGCGTGAGCCACTGCACCTAGCCTTTTTTTCGTTGTTGTTGAGACAGAGTTTCACTCATGTTGCCCAGGCTAGACTGCAATGGTGTTATCTTGGCTTACTGCAACCTTGCAACCTCTGCCTCTCAGGTTTAAGCAATTCTCCTGCCTCAGCCTTCCAAGTAGTTGGGATTACAGGTATGAGCCACCACACCCAGCTAATTTTGTATTTTTAGTAGAGATGGGGTTTCACCATGTTGGTCAGGCTGGTCTCGAACTCCTGACCTCAGGTAATCCACCCGCCTTGGCCCCAAAGTGCTGAGATTACAGGTGTGAACCACTGCGCCTGGCCTTGATTTGTGCTTCCTTTGCAAATTTGACCTAATCATCCTGTAAACTTTCATCTAAGTCATTAACTGAAACTCTGAGCAAGATGGGCTTGAGTATAGAATTCTGGATCACTTCTCCAGCTAATTAACACTACCTCTTTGGGTGGATTTGTCCATGTGGCTTTAAGTGCACCTTAAGGCATTACCATGTTAAATGCCTTTTTGAAATGACGACATCCCAGGCTGGACATCCTCCAGAGTCTACCCAGCTTTTCATTACCCAGAAGCCATACTATGTGAACTGGCTGACTTGTTTTTAGTGGTGATTTTAGGTGTCAACCAGAGGCTTCACAGCCAAATGTTGTGTGTCTAATTCTAGAGTTTGGACAGCTAAAAATTATCAGCAAGTGTTTATCAACAGATTTAACCACCAAACGTGAAACAAAGTGATAGATGTTTGGGTGTGCAAGTGAATCAACCCACTGAACAGCTTGGGAAAATAAAGAACCTAGAATGTCAAGGGCAGTTGGCAGAGGTTGGGGCAGCTGGATTTTATTGTTCCTGTGCCTCTGTGAATGCCCATGCTGATATGGTCTAGGGAGACATAAATAAAGACTTAAGTAGCCCTAGTTTAAACTATGAGATTCTGATATGTTGTTTCACATTCATCTCAGTATTCCACCATGTTCCCAGTCCCAACTAGTTCTGAGTCACTCAGAATTCATTCCAAATTGATGATGGCTTTACTAAGTTTTCAAACATTTAATTGATGAATTATCTTCCAGGTGTTTCTGAAGGCATGTCAAGAATTTATCAGAGGTTTTGCTTTTAGAAAAAAATGAATCTAATGGTTAAATTCTTTTTTCCATTCTTTTTGCACAATTCTTTTTGCCAGAATTGTATCTTAGCACTTTAGACCCTTTTTCA